GAGGCTGATTTTAAAAAAATGCCACATGAGCTCATTTGCGCCTCACCAAAGAAGGGATGAAGGGATGTGATCCCCAGGAGTAATAGGCTCGAGAGCAAGCTGGGTCGGCTTTGCTGCAGAGAGGGCCCCAGCTGCCATTTCTACAGCTGGACTCCAAGCTGTTTCCTGGTGTATGTTCATTTGCTTGTGAAACTCTTAAATACAGCAGGGGACACAGGGTTTCGGGGGTGAGTGTTCTATTCTCCAACCCCCACTTCTGGGATTTTCTTGAACGAAAACAAATGTATGCTTAGTCTTTTTTCTCCAGCTATTCCTTATTTATTTTGCACAGATTTCCTATCACATAATAGCCTTGAGCTTAATCCTCTGCTCTTTGTATGCATCACTCATATCCTGAACTGCTACCACACTTAGCAGCTTTTACTATCATACTTAATTTACGTGTAGGCTCTGAACACTGAACAAGAGTTTAGAGTGGGGTCTGGCACATTAGAAGAGAATCAATAGATATTAGGTGAAGAAGTGCATGTATGCAAAGGCGATTTTATCTAATCCATCTTCTTAAATCGTCATATGCATTGAAGATTTGCGAGTTTGTGCGTTCTTCTGAACTAGGAGCCAAAGGACTTGTTGACTATGAATGTCTGCCTTTGTGTTATTTGTGAGCTGCTCATATTTAGCAGTCAACATGAGAACTTGTCATTTTCTCACACTTTACTCATCCATTCATATTCCAGTTTTAATAAATGATGGAATCACTTACCTTGCCCAAGACAGAAGCCTGTGTGTTGCAGGGTAATCTACTATCAAGCCATGCAAAGTTGGTCATGTCAGATGCTTTTTGTGTACACCCACATGCAGGACTTTCCCTAGCTTGTCAGCTCTCCTCAAATAAGTGTGTCAGTCTCCCGGTGGAGCTCTTTCATCTCTCACAGGGCCACTGCACACTACAGATACAGTTCAGTCTGCATGCACAGCCTGATGCTGTACACACACACACACACACACACTCACTCACTCACCAGAACCCTTCCTGCACTCACCACTACCTTTTCCTTATCCCTCAGAAATTTTGTTTCCCCAGCTAGGAAATTAGAAAAATGGTTTGACCAAGTTTCTTGAGTGAGAAGAACCCTGAAGTTCCATATTCTCTGTTTGGAAGACATACTGTAAATTGCTTTTATCACTTAGTCAGCATTTCCCTCTCTGGCTTCCCTATCCTTTCCTTCCTTTCTTCCTTTCTTCCTTCCTTTCTTCCTTCGGGGCTTGTATATCTGTGCATCAAGCATTTTTCACCATTGGATCAGTCTCCCTAGCTCTAAGTTCATTCTTTATATCAATTATTTCAGACTTCTTGCAAAAAACAACTCTAAGACATAGTAATTTCTGTAATGGAGAAGTTTACAGATGACACAGTCGAGTCAGTGAGATGAAATGAAATGACAAAATCTGCACGTGCATGGCCCACAGTCACAGAGCTACAGTTCAAAGTTGGCCTAATGCATTCCAAATTTCTGGTTTGTGGTCATGGGCCCAGCTCAGTAGCAGTGCACTTGCCTTAGAATTTGAGAGGGCCTGGATTTGACTGTCAGTATGAAACAAATAAAGAAACAAACAAATGAATGAAAATACAAAGAAAGAGAGAGAGAAATAACCAAACAGCAACTCTAGAAAACAAACAGCAAAACAAGCCTCCAGCTGACTTCATGTAACTTCTCAGCGACTAGACTAGACTAGAGGCCAATTGAACTCCAGTGAAGACTTAGAAGCAACAGACTTAGAACCATAAACTTCTGCTTTCTAAAAGAACAAGACAGACTTCTAGTGAATGGGGAGGGGAAAGGAAGAGACAGTACCCTGAATATAGTAGGTAATTTGAAAAATGGAGTCCAGGTTCAGGGATACTTAGAAACCACAGCAAACCAACACCACATACTGTGGAGACCCAGGAACTTTGACATGCAGATAGAGGAGATTTCCCAGCATGGGGTAAATCATACAGCTGATATAAGGTAACAATTTGAATACACACATAACTATGAGCATCACCATAGAAAGTCATGGAAGAACAACTCCCAAGACAGGGACTGGGATTGGGAGATATGAATGAGGAACGTTCATGAAACTGATCATGAAATCACGTTTGACAATTTTCGTCACTCAGAAAAATGTCAAAGGTAATTATCAATTATTCCGTGAAATGTATACAGATAAATCACCCTTGACTTATACTGAGGTGGCTTTCAATAATCCAAAAGCTGTACTTTGGGAGGAACTTGACTGAGAAATTTGAACTTTGATCTTTTTCTGGGCTGGCTCTACCCTCTCCAGTTCAAGTGAGGTATTTGTTTCTAGATTTCACATGGCTAGATCCAGAGGGTGATGAAGGTCTATGCTTCTAAACTTCTAAAGAGTTTTATTAGAATACAGCCATGCGCTTTTCTTTACTTGCCATGGTTACATCCCCACTACAAGGGTGAGTAGAGCGGTTGTGACAGAGCTTATAGTTTACTATCTGGCCCTTTAGGAAAAAGCCATCATGCTTGGAGGATGGGGTTCAACAAGATTAAGGAGACTGCCACGGAGGACTCCTCTCTGTGGAAACCTCTTCCTGGACTGTTAAATGCTAAATAAATGCCATGACATTCCAACTAATGACAAAATTGATTCAAATGTATAAGTAAAATGTTAGCAATTTCTAAAAACAGAGTCATGAAAAGTTGCTTCCAAGAATGTTAGGGTGATTTGGAAAGGAAGCAATGCCACATGACTGTCACAATCAGAAACTGCCTTTTCACATCATTGTCATTTCACATTCTTTGAAAGTGTTTTACTCAGTATCCTCTTCAAATTACCCTTAGGGAAGGACATGTCCTTACACTGCCTTTACCAAGAGTACCTGTCATATATGAAGGCGGGCGACTATAGACTACCAGCTAAAAGAGAAAAGGAAAAAAACATGTGTCCATCAGCTGTAATAATGCAGATAAACATGACATAGACAGCTCTCACATCACCTTTACCAGACTAGCCATGAGCTCATTGCCTCCTGGCTGCTTTGAACCATTGTCAACCTATCAGTAATAATAGGATTCTACTAAGCAAAAGACACATGATTATTCAGTCATCTCTCATGCCATTATTAATTGCATATATGTGAACTATATAGGCTTTATACGTCATATACATAATAATATCCATAAGGTAGGTGTTTCTATGGGCCCTTGAGAAAAAGAGCCACCTTGTTAGATATCATGTATTAAATTTTTTATTTTATTTGGTATACTACACTATTATCAGTTGTGTAATTTATATCAAATTGATAAATCTACAAATGCAAATATATATTGAAATTCTGAAATGAAGTAGAAAACTATCAAAATGTTAGTGTGCATGAACAGTTCTAAGATGACATTTATCATATAATATACAGGCAGGTATTAAACTGCCAGTCAGTGCACAAAGTGAAGAAGGAAACACATTTCATTTGTAGACATAGACATTTCCACTTAAACAGTGTAAACTGAGAAACTTGCTGGTACTTTTAAGGAAATCTTCAAAAGCATCAACAAAAAAGAAATATGAAAAATTAATATTTCCAGTGTCACAGTGCTCTGAAGGACATGACCTATAACAACAAACTGTGTTGAAACACAGGGTTTGGGTAAATGGGAAGGGACCTTGTGTTTCTGACTTGGAAGAATCCATATGTTTTAAACATATGAATCCACTTCAAATTTACATGTGTGTTGCAGTCTCAAATGAATTTCAACATCTTTAAGTTAACACACACACACACACACACACAAAAAAAAAAAAAAAAAAAAAAAAAAAAAAAAAAACTGTTCCTAAGATTTAGCTGCAATATACCTCTGTAAGTAGCCAGGAAACAACAGACAAACCAGACCAGTGTAAAGAAGTTTTTGAAGATAAATGTCAAATCAGATTATAAAATACATCACAAAACTTTGGACAAAGCAAAATTACATGTGCCTCTTAATCTAGGCCCTTTAATGATTTCAGAGGCATTCAGACTTTAAATGTGAAAATGAGGGTGTATATATGATGATGTAGGTGAAAAAAAAAAAGTGTATATTCTTGAGCTGTTTTTTGAGACAAGGTTTCTCTGTGTAACAGTTTTGGCTATCCTTGAAATCACTCTGTAGACCAGGCTAGTTTAGAGTAAGATGTCCTTAAGTGTACTTTTGACTGCATATTGAAACTTTTAAGCATCTATTGTTAATAATTCCTTTCAAGTGTTGTCAGAGGGTCTAGCTGGAAGAAAGTCAATTTGCCTATAGGAATGTCTATCTCCCTACTCCATTTGCTTCTGTTCACCCATGGCCCAACTCAAAGCACAGTTCAGATGAACGCTATACTTTCAGGGTGTTTGGATCTACCCGACCTCAGTTGGTCTAAAGGTCTATGAAATGAACTAAGGCAGTTTTTGGGGGAATGGATGAGTGCATCATCTCCTTGAGGGTTTGGAGTTGGACATCACATAAAAACTGTCACTTTCACATGTGTCATAGCATGAGTTTTGCTTGTGAAGCCCTGTCTATCATCATCTCCATCTCAACTGTAGCACACAACAGTACAACTACTATTTCCAGTGTACGAGTTCACTCTCCACCTCTCTTTCATGATTAACTTGGTTTTGAAGATCTCACTTGCAGCCCAGATTGGCCTAGAACTGACCATGGAGCCCAATCTGGCCCTGAAATCATGGCAATCCTCCTGTCTCAGCTTCTCAAGTGCTGAGATAATGGCTGTGAGGTTTAATTGCTGACTATTCTCATCTCATTCCTCCTGCCTCCGCCTCTTTAGCATAGGAAACTGAAGACTGTGGACCTCTGGGTATAAGGTATATGCTTGGGGAGCAAGCCATGGAATGGCTCATCCAGTGGGCTGCTCAGAGCAGGGTTCCCAGATTGCCAGAGCTGTGGCAGCCCTGGGGTTCAAAAGTGCGGGACAGGCATGCCTCCCCCAACCCCAACTACCTTTTATAGCCTCTTTCACTGAAGAATCCATAGGCAGAATGTTCTTCTCCACCAGTTCCAAGGGCCCAGGGCGGAGAGCAATCTTTTCATTGAGGTCATCAGCAAGGCGGGCTCTTTTCAGCTTCATCTGAGCAGTTGGGATGGATCTTTCTGCTGTAGAGGCTACGCGGTTGGAACAGACAGGATCTGATTTAGAATTGGATGTCATTTTGTTGGGTTCACTTTTTTGGCTGGTGGTTACAAAACACTGTGTCACACCATGCTCTACCATCCCCATCCCGATAATTTTTCAATGCAAGCATCATCACTTCACAGGGATTAGCACCAGAGAGCAGCCACTTCCAAATAAAGGCAAATGAAGAGGCCCGGGAAAACCAGAGAAACTTGCCTTGAGAGGATTTGTTTTAAAAAAATGCAATTTGGCAATTTTGTAAGCAAGCAGTCCATGGGGTCCATGTGGCTTGCTTGACCCTAGGTTCCTGGCTTTTGAGAATGACTGGCACAGACTGGGCCTGCAGTAAAACATCATCTCCTGGTGACAGTAGGGGGAGTATAACCTTCCAGGGGTTTTAGATTTGTCAGTGTTGTGATACGGACTGAGAGTCAAATGTTCAGATACATTGTAAAAGGCAAAAAACCAAAATCTTTTGAAGTTGATATTTTAATTAAACAGAGGGATTAAAAAAAAAACTGAATGTATCCAACAGGCAGTTTCTCATCATTTGTGTGTGTGTATGTGGGGGGGAGTCAAGTACAGAATTCTAAACTCTCCTCTTCATGGCTGACCCCAAATGTCCTCTTTAGGATGAGCTGTGAGTGATTTCCATGAAGAAAATGGGGTGAAAATTTCAGTCAAAGTCAACCTGTCACTTTCAGGATCTGTCTTAACATGTTGAGATTAAAAGATGAGGAATTTATAGACAGCTCCTGGCTGGACTCCACTTCCACACTTTTCATTCTATCCTACCACAGGCGCTCAGGCTGTCCGCACACAGGCCCTCAGCCTCTAAGCCTGCCATGAATGGATCCACGTATTTTCTGAACAGATAGGTTTCCATTCCAATCCCTACAGTCAACCCCTGGTCCTTTCTGCCATCAGGGCATAATGTGTCAGCTTTTGCAATCTGTTTCCTATTTCCTGTCCCCACCGGAATGAGAAACTCAAGAGAGAGGAGACATTTACATGTTAGTGGATCTTTGATACTTCAGGAAAGTAATTCTTAATTTCTGTTGGGGAGACTTGAAGACTCCATGGAAGAGACATGTCACAGAAGCAAGGGCTGTTGTGATGGAGAACTTGATATTAACGGCAATGATGAAAGAAACTACTGTTTTTAAAGTGCTGGGAATGAAAGTCAGGCAAGTGCTACACTGCTGAGTCACAGCCCACCCTCCTAGGCCTTCTTGACCACAGCGCCTCTGTGCACATGGTATCACGAATGCCAAGGCTATGCATGAGAAAATGTAATGAGCAGGAAACTCCCCATGCTGCACCAGCCCTTTGGAATTGTTTGTTTTTATTATTAGACCAATACTTTTTCTTCCCAGAACTGGACCATGAATGCACATATTTACATGTTTAGTTTGTCTTCCCAGAATTTGTCTCTAAATACTGTTTTGCTTTCTGCTGTTTTCACTAAACACCCTCTAAGCTTTTTCTTATTATGACATTATTCTTCAAAATCCTTGCTGTGATGCTATGTGGTATTAAACTCCATGGAGGATCCCCAAATTTACTCGGGGGATCTCCTATTGTTGGACATTTTACCAGCTTCAATGTTTTCCCCCTCCAAATAACTCCTTGCTAAACACCATTGAATACGAACGATCCTTTACAGGACACACAGTCAAGGAGTTGGATACATTCTGCCAAACTGCCCCGTGGAAACACTGACCCGGCTGCACCCACCAGCAGAGTACCAATGCCTGCATCTTGTGCATCCTTGCTACATGCAGTATCTATTTTTATTTGCTAACTCGACCATTGAAAGTCTGCAACTCAGTTGAATGGAATTTCTTAGTCTATTTGTATAGCTGCAGTATTGTGCCAACACAGCAGCAATTCCCAGGATCGTCATAGATGTCACAGTAAAGGAGGTAAGAATTTTGTCACTTGTGTATGGAGCCTTTTTAGAGCTTTTCCTCCATATTCTGCGCTGTCTACTCTCTGTCTTATTGAGTCTCACCTACTCCGTAGTTGGAGAAAGTTTGGGAAGCCAGAAGAGTTGGAGATGAAGCTGATAAAAGAGGAAAGACTCACTACCCCCTCCCTATTTTAGGCCCTTTCCTACACTGTAGCATTTACATCTGGGCTTAGAATGAAATCTTCCCTTTAGAGAGAGCACACTGGTGCTGTGTGCATGCTCCACCTGCATCTTGAATGCCCTTCCTTCTTCCTATACTTGGTCCATACTTCATATCCCTTCCTCCCCTCCCTTCCCTTCCCGAGTCTAATCTGAGTCAGATGTCTTCCCTTTGAGGCCCCCTCCGTAACTCACAACCCCATGCATGCTTTCCCTGCATTCACAACACCATGCATTATTCTCCCTTGTGCTGGGTGGTGAATGCTAATTCTCATGTCTGCCTTCTCTGTTACCCTGGGAGGATTCTCTAAGGGCAGACATCCACATCTTCATCTCTACACTGACAAGGTCAGCCAGTCCCTTGCAACCCTCAGTGCATCACTGATCAAATGTGTTCACAGAAAATGTCAAAGTAAAGCTGGGCCTCTCTGAAGCTGGCACCAGTGGTCTGAGCATTCTCATGGCAGGAAAGGCCTCTCCTCTGCTCAGGTGTCAGATGAAGATGGCGAGTAAGCATTTGCTTTGGTTCCCACTTCCCAACATGGTCAGATCATCCCAGCGTAGAATTGCATGGATCAGTGCTGAGTTTTCTGAGATTGTTATTTCCTATACACTGGAGCTGTGCTTCTCAACCTTCCTAATGTGGTACCCTTTAATACATTTCCTCATGTTGTGGTGACCCACAACCATAAAATGTTTTATTGTTGCTACCTTACAGCTGTCACTGTGTTACTGTTAAGAATCATGATGCAAATATCTGTGGTTTCTGATGGTCTTCGAGGACCTCTGTGTAAGTGTTGTTTGACTCCCAGAGGGGTTGTAACCCACAAGTTGAGAACCACTGCAGTAGTGACACTATAGATTCACCTGATCTTGGAGTCAGGAATGGCATAGGTGAGGCAGGAAATCAAATCTGAAACAAGCTTTCAAGTCTATTATGTGGCTAAGAATGACAGGATGACTGCTCAAAATGGCTGAATGCAAAGCCAGGACACACACACACACACACACACACACACACACACACACACACACACAGACAGACAGACACACAGACACACAGACATATGTATGTATAATTAATTTATCTTTGGAGAGGCTTTTTGAGGGACTTAGAAAGTACAGAGACAGGAAAATCTAGAAACATGGGCAGGTATCTCCTACTTTATGATTTCTGTAGCCTTACCTTGGAGAATGTGCATATTAACCAGGCTGCCACAATCAGACCTGTTTCTGCCCTTGCGCCTCAGGGAATCTTCTGTCTGTAGAACAAAAGCACAAAACTCTCAATTTCTCTCAAAACGACTCTATTAATGGAAAATGGAAAAATATCCCCTTTCTCCCATTTTTTTTCTCAAAGAAACATAAATTTTCCCCTAGAATTTTAGTCTGGGGAAGAAGGGCAGAGGGATAAAATGCCTAGACCTGAATCAAGGGCTATAAATACAAAGGCATCCTAGTGATGTTCATATGACAGTTGACCTGGAGTCATTTTGCTGTAATTGATCCTATTGCCTAATAGGCAGAAAAGCAGCCAAGGTCAGAGATAAAACATTGCACAAACATGCACTACAATAGGACTCCATACAGCCCTTGCCGGTTGTTTTTTTACATAGCAAAGGGTGAAACCTATGATCAGACTTTGGAAGGCACTTTGGGAAGGACAGTTTGCTACATCTCATTGCCATGGAGGAGCAACTAACAGGCAAGGAAAGATGCTGGCCAGCCATTCTCATGTCATGGAAGGTGGTAATGGCTCCTACATTGTATTTAAATCACCGATAACATCAGGGGTAGAAATCTGTGGTAAAGGTGCCTAGTGAGTATGTTAATTTTTTCTTTAAGTGAAAAACTGAAATAAACCAAACAACCCTGTCTCCCAAATGAGAAAATCAAATAAATGCCATTCTTTGTGGAGCTCCAAATAAGCCCCACTTACAACCTTCATCTTCCCACCGAACCCACTTAGGAAAATCTGATTTTGCTAAGAACGACTGCACTGAAAGATGTAACTCAGTGGGAAGGCCGACCTTACTTCTCTTCTTAAAGGTGTTTTGACTTTATGAGCTCTAGCATATCTTTGGTGACTGTCCTCCAATACCAAGTGATTAGGGATGCTCCTTTTTAAACTGAAAACTATCACTCTTAAATCTGACACAGTAGATGTCATTTTCACAGTCTTCTTTAGTCCATGGGAGTGAGAGTCCACGTGGTGTGAGGACAGGGATATAGCCATTTGGCAGTTTGTTGTGGAAATCCTACATACTTAAGCCACACTTTCAGCATGCAACATCTATAATCTGTCAGCCATGGTCAGAAAAGGCAGTTTGCAAAAATTACCTTGTTACTATCCAAATTTTTTCTTGGGTCATGGAATTCAGTTGGACTTTTCAGTGCTGCAACAGAAAGATACCGAGGTGAGCAGAGGCTGGCTGAAGGCAGGGTCAGTATTGCAGGGTTGCCGTGTGCTTGCTGAGCTATGCACAGTCTGGAAGTGATGGCCTCTGTCAGGCTACAAGCAACAAAGAAGGAAGGCCTGGAAGATGCCAGCTGCGCAGAAGCCTCAGGAGACAGAGGAAAGCAGAACTCTGGCCTAAACCAGGAAGAGCGGCAGAGGCAGGAAATGCAACAGAAGTGGTGGAGGCAGGCCATGCCAAGTTTCTTAGGAAATGGGGGGGGGCAATAACCTTGGTTTGAGGGAGGGGCAACTAACACCCTCACTGACTTCACTAAGCCCTTAGTTCTAATAGCTTGCTGGATAGTTGTAGTCTGTGGCTGGTTTACCATGAACAGGCAGCCAAGGGTATGGAGTAAGAAGCTGAGATTCAGAATATGAGAGCTGGAAGGGTCTCTGAAGACAGTGAACTCCAATCCGAAACCTAAACAAAGTAGGGAAATGAGGTCCACGGAAATAGACTGACTTGCCCAGGAGCACACGGTTGGATCCTAGGTCATCTGATTCCCTCATCTTTTTCCAGGAGTGGGGTTCCAACTATTATCTGTCAGCAGACATGGACCTCCTCAGTCATTCATGTCTTATAGTGTAGAGTAGCACAGAACAATCAACCTATACCAGTTAGCACTTCCACACTTCTCTCTGTGTCCTCCCATCTCTCCTTGGAGCACCTCTCCACTATGGTTCCATAAACTCAGTGTAGCAAGAGTGCAGAACATCTTTCTGCCCACATCTGGACTTTGTATTGGCTGGCTTCCTGGCCTCCTGGGAGCAATCTCAGCCAGAAGCCATAGACAATCACATTTCACTGTAAGTGAAGAGATTGAATGAAGTATAGAATTACACTGCTTTTCTTTTTAAATTAGTTGCTAAGTCGGTATATATTGGTGAAACACATGATCCAGATTCTACAAATATTCTAATAGGTGTCCACTCATGTTACAGTTAAGGAAGTCATTTTCCAAATATTGAATTAGGTTTCTGGCTAAATCAGTGTGTGTGTGAGTGTGTGTGTGTGTGTGTGTGTGTATGTGTCTAAGTGTGTGTTTACCCACACATGTGTACATGCACTTCAGCCCTGAAAACTACACTATTCCTCTACTAACCTGGTGGGTATCAAGCTAACAGGACCATAGTGGTACTTGGTCATATTATTTTCTATGTAGGATGCTGTTTGGGCATGCTCTATCAACTCACCCACCTCACTCCAACATTAACAATGCTGGCCAAAGGCCATGCCAAAATTGTTGCAGCTGGATGCTTTGTACTCAATACAGTTGACATGTTCTGCTCTCACTGAGACTGGAGGCACAGAATCTCTTTCTCAAAGGAAGAAGGATGAATATTGAGCTTGACTATCACATTTCACACTGACCTGGAAACAGACTTTCCTGTCACTTTCCATCTCAAAATGGGCCCCTCGGCCATGCTGACTACTATAGATGCTCTCTTTCTTTCTCACCTTTCCCCAGCCAAGTGATTCTGAGAAACAAATGTGTAGGTGCCATTATGGCCCATGCACTTTCTTTGACAAGAGCCTCAGTACCCTGGCAAAGGAGGCTTGCCTTTTCTCATATTTGATCCCTGGAACTTTATGTTGGGGATGTCTGGAGTGCTGTCCCCAGCTCGCCAAGCTACCAGGTCACAGAGTCTACTTGGGCTCCTGTAATGTGCAAGTTCTGCACCAATAGCTTTACCTCTGTCCCATCACTTGGTGTCCATGGAATTAAGCATGGCTGATTAGTTAGGATGGCTGAATACTTTCATCACCAGTAAAAGAACTGATTCTGAACTGATCTTTATTAAGTGGTGAGAAAGAATAATGTGTTTCTCCTGGAGGTGTTCCCTAAAGGGAGCCATAGTCTTTAGGTACTTCCCACATTCTAAACACATTATGTTTGCTTTTCTAAAATTCATTGTTACTACTGTGTGTGCATTTGTATGTATGATGTGGGGGGGGGGATTATGCCAAAGGGCATGTGTGGAAGACAGAGGACACCTTATGGGGCTAGCTCTCTCTTTTCACCATTATGTGGTTTCTGGGCATTGAACTCAGGTTCTCAGATTTGTACAGCAAATGCCTTTAGCCACTGAGACACCCCCCCACCTTGCTGATCCACACAATTGGTTCTAATTGGACACGAGAGGAATGTGCTGATTCTGCATCCTCGAGATTCTTCAGGTCTCTCTAGCGGAGCTCATCACTTTTCCAAGAAACACTGACTGCCCTGTATTAGTTTCACAAAGCCAAGTATTATTACTGTGTCACTACCTTCCCTGTGAAATGATTGAAACAGTTTAATTCTGATGTGAGGAGCACAAAGGTCTTCGGGAACCTTCTACTGTGGGGTGTGAAGATGTGTCCATTTATTGAGGTCTTGGGAAGAAGATGAAGAGGTCTACATGCTGCCCTCACCAAATAAACGCTGTCGTCAGGCTTGCTGTGGAGGTCGAGTGTGATATGGGGCACTAGCGTGAGGTCACATTGTGGAAAACTCCCCAGCAGAGTGGCCCTGGGGTTGAGGTTTGCCTACTCTGTGACTCCAGAGATTGTGGGCTCTAGCCATCTCCCCTGCAGGCCTCCAAAATCATAATGTCTCCCTCAGTTGATTTTTTTTTAACTACACAAAGGACCCACTTCTGCTGCCAGCCCTGGGAGTATCAAATGGCAAAATTTCATATTTAAAGGACACTGACATTTAAGATGGAAAAGGAATTTGGATTTCTAAATTAAAAAAATAAGTCCATGTGATTTCAAATTAGAATTCGACTATAAATCCAGTCAGCCACACATCTGACTTGTTCCTCTGGAGGAAGATTAATCGCTCCTCACAGGGGAATTCATGTTCTCGCCTTAGCGTTTCGTCGCAGGCTATTCCTATTTCTGTCCCTACAGTTCCAGCTAATTTGGGTCAGCTGTGTGGATAAACATTTGCCTAGATAAGAACAGGCCTCCTGCAGTCCTTTCTGCTCCACTCAGACTTCAGGCCTCCAATAGGTTCCAATGAAGAAAAGAGGCCTAGGATGGAGAGGACTCATTTAAAGCCAGACGGGCTCTTTTGCATAGGGCTGGGCTTTGGTGTTGAGTGGCAGCCCATCAGGGATGTTGCAGCGTTGATTCCCCTCTAGGGGGCCTCTCACTACCAGGCCCTACTCCACTGAATAAAGACAGAAGGAGATGCCAAGAGCCACAGATGGTTCTTAGTGCAGGCCCCGGGACTGGCAATTCTCAACATCAATTGGGAAGTTGTTAGATGGTCCAGCCCTTAAACCCCATCTCAGAACCACAGCCTCAGAATTTCTGGGGGTGAAGCAGATGAATTTGGCTTTGAACGAACGCTCCAACTGGTGTTGATACCTGGGTTTAAGAACAACAGCCTTCGGGCTCATCAAGCCAGTGCACCCCTACTGAGAGGGTTTCAAGAAACAGTGAGTTCTAAAGAGAAGCCCTGGATTGGGATGGTCAGAATTGGTTTTCAGTTTCTCAAAAAGATGCTGAGGAAAAGGACACTGCCTTTTTCGTCATCGCTGCCTGGAGTCACAGCAATGGAGTTTAAAAAAAAAAAAAAAAGCTAGCTCCAGTGGAAAAGCATTTGGTACTAAATTTGTAGCTCATTTATTAGTTGAAAATAGACATGTGGATTAATAATGAATATTTATTAGTTTTTTTTAATTTCAATTTTATGTGTTTGGGTATTTTGCCAGCATGTATGTCTGTGTACCATGTGTGTGCCTGGTTCCTGTAAAGGCCAGAACAAGGTGTTAGATCCCCTGAAAGTGGAGTTACAGATGGCTGTGTGCTACCATGTGGGTAATGGGAACTGAACCCAGGTCCTCTGCAAGAGCAGCCAGTGCTCTTAACTGATGAGCCAATCTCCAGCCCTCTACAGGGTTCTCTGTGGAGAGGGAGACACAGTTATTTTCACACATGAGACTTCATGATTAAAGCCATCCTGGGACCAGAGAATTTAGGACCCATCTAGTCAAGACCTCTCCTTGTTGGCATAACCTTGAACTGATCCAGTAGGTATTCTGCACTCTTGGCCTCCCATTTACAAAATGGGCTTCATGGGGTTTGCTCACTGTATCTTGCTTTGAAAGGCAGAAGAGGACTTGAATAGTTACCCCTGAACAATCAGGATACAGGCTTCACGTAGATGATAGCAACTTGGAAATAATCTCTCTCTCTCTCTCTCTCTCTCTCTCTCTCTCTCTCTCTCTTTCTCCCCCTTTCCCCCTCTCCCTTCCTCCCTCCTTCCCTCTCCTTCTCTCTTAGAAGTTGATAATAATTTGCTTATTCTGTGGTCAAATTACAGTCTTAGGGGTTTGAAAATAGTGTATTTGCCCAATGTTGCTGGTGGCATTTAAGACCTGCATGTACAATTACAGAGTCTGACCTAACACATGCAAATGCTTGCGAGTTCCTACCCATGTGGATTCAGAGACAAATCCAAAGCATATCTCTAGTGACTAGTTTTCTACTTCTAAAGAAACAGGCAACTGGAAAATTGAGGGAGAGATGAAAGAGAAGAAAGAAGTAACAATTGATCTTGCTTGTCATCAAAGTTCAGGGTACCTTCCCCTACTCTGAGGGGAGGTGGTAGAGAGAAAGGAAGAGGCAGACAGATTAATCCCCTCGTGCTGCATTCTGCTCAGGCAGCCAACAGTATGTGGTAGGTGCTGTGGGGAGAAGCCAAGTCAGCTGGTGCACTGAGAAAAGGCAGGGAGACTGTCTGGTGAATGTCTCAAAGCTATGGTGAGGCTGCGTGGGGAGTGGGTGCAGGGATGGCCCATCATTCTTCTGGCTATTCAGGAGTGCCACAGAGTTCAGGGTTTTACCAAGGCTTGGCAGTAAGAATGTGGCTGATGTAGCTTGGATTAGTCTGCAAAACAAATAAAGGCAGCACACTTCACAGACAGCTCCTTATATCTTGAAATTCATTTACATCGACCTGATCATTGAACTCAAGCTGCCCAGGAATCCCACTCCGCCAGAGGTGGCTCTCTCTGAAACTGTGGGCACACAGTGACTCTCTGGTCCCGAGGCCCTCAAAAATCCATCCCAGTCCTTCTCTCTCCTTCTCCACTTCAGGAAGACAGCTATGTCCAGTGCTCCACAAGTTTACCCCCATTAGACACTCTTTAGTAGCAGAGATGGAGGAAGCACTGGGTTTCTCCTTCAACTGCCTTGGTACTCACCCTCAGGAAAAGCTCAATACTCTCCCCAAAGTCATCAATAGGAACAGTTAAAAGAGGGTTCTGCAAAGCTGGTGTCTTATTGACTGCAAATCTCTTGACTCAGAAACTGTCTGATTCCCATGAGTATGACCTACATACAGCCTTGCTACTAGACGATGCTCATAGCTCTGGGGCCATTTTAGTGCATTTGGCTCAGGAGGCTGAGAATCTTCTCTGTGAGGTCTTTGGAAGGGGTCAGAATGAAATAGAGTCAGTTAAGGTTCTGAATTCAAGACTAGAGCAAACCCAAGCTAGACCAAATCTTAGCACATAGCAGTTGGGCATGAAATTCCACCTGTAGCTCTGGGGTAATTAACAGTTGTTAGCTGCTAGGAGAGGAAGAGAATTTTCTCTAAGAATGTAGTCCCCTCAGAAGTTGGCAATGTTCCATGGGAGGCCTACACATCCAAGAATATTTGAGCATCACAAATTAGTCTTGAGGGGTCTAAATAAAATGACACAAGGTTTGTTGGGTAGGGAATCTAGAGTGTGTCTGGGAGTAGTGCAACTAGCAAAGGAGTAATAAAACTTTTACAAACAGAAAAGCATCTTCCTGGGAGAGTTCTGCTCAGGGATAAAAAGTGTAGAATATATGCATGAAAACAGTAAGTAACACCCTTTTACCTTCTTCTAAAGCCCCACAAATAGACTGTCTTTATGTCCTGTGTCCTTGAGCCTGCAGGCCTGGTGAAGACATCCCTACAAACCCTAGCTTCAGTGGAGAGCCAGGCAGTTCCTTTGGGGAATCATATGTGGATCTGGGAGTTAAGTCTAAACAATAAAGCTTTAGAATTCATGGCTGCTTAGAAAGCATGAACTTTACCACTCATTGGGAAAGCTCTCTTAGGATATGGCTCAGCCCCCAACTCAGGTTAAAGAACACCTTCTTTAAGTCTTTCTTAGGTTCTATGTTGGCCACTGGGAGCGACATGTAAAATAATAATTTAAAAAAAAAAAAAAAAAACCGCTTTGACTCCAAAATTTAAGTTGAAGAACAAGTTACTGGGGAAAAGTATTTCTATTTTTGTTTCCACAGAAAATGAAAAGATGTGGATTCCTTCCAGACTAATGTGGTTTGATCACACCAGACCGCCTGAAACAGAGTACAAGCTGATCCTACATTCCAAACAGCTGGACAAAACAGCCCTACAGACTACAGCTAGGATATCTGAATCTTCTTCGAATCCCCCAAGACAGCGCCCCTTACCAGCAGGAAGTAGTTTGGAAAGAACGACGCCCAAATTCCCAAATATTGTGTATAAATGTTTGTTTTCATTTAATTGGACTTTGTTATATAAAATTAAATAAAAAATACTCTATATGCATAAAAAAAGAATATAAGAACATTTATCTTTATTTCTAATCAAAAGATGGTGCATTTGATTTCATTCAAAGCATGAGAGGAGGGAAAGCCCTAAACTCATATAAATAAGGAAAATGTGAGTGCTTTTGAAGTGAGTAGGGGAATTGAAACAATGTTGTTGCTACTCCTGTGGGCTCTTTGTTACTTAGCAACAACCTCAAAGCCTGCATGATGCATGGCTGTACAGAAGGAAGGAAGGAAACTGAACCTTGTTGAACTAGTTCTAGTGGACTAGTCAACTGGAACATATATCTCAGACCATTGGTGTCTTAGAATAAACTTAGAGTTTATTCATCACATTGAGAATCTCGCAGAGTCTAGGTAGTAGAGTTTGTCATTCACAGTTGGTCCATCTCATTGAGACTATTGGATCACTCTTCACATTTTCCCAGTCTATCTTTGCAATCCGTGGGATCAAAACCAGAGTCTCTCTGTGCATGAGAAGTGGGTCTGCCATAATGGGGCAGTTGCCCCTGTTAACTGGGTATATGGAAAATTTAGAGCAAGCCACTAACTAACATGGCCATTGGTTTTGTGTGTAGGCAATTCATCATAAGTTGTAAAATTTTCAGAGAGAATTACAGTTATTTCACACCATGGGCAAAGTGAGATTTTTACCATAGTCTCATTTTACGTGTATTTAAATTCCTGCAAGTTAAAATGAGAGGGACCTGGATGGAGCATGCCGGATCGGCTTTAGGATATTTGAAGATTCTTTTGGGCTGTCAGCTTCATTTCCATGAATGTTAACTAGAAATAAGGATTTGACTACTGTGTTTCAGACCCCTGCTGAAGAAAAATGCCGCTCTAGTAAGATGACTTCAAAGCTTCTAGGAGAGACGAGGGGAGGTCTAGGGAGTGAGTGGTACAGACTATCAACATTATCTTGGCTAGAAACTATGCATATGATTTCCTTAAAACTGAAAAACTTAAAAAAAAAAAAAAAGAAAAAAAAAAAACCCTACAGGATTAGCTGATCTTTGTAGATTTTTGTCCCTCTATTTTTTCTCACTTCCTTTATCTTTCTTTTAAAAAGTTGAAATAATAGAAGGTCTTCTTGTGGCAGATAATGGGACTCAGTGAACTAGACTTACTGTCAGCAACCCCTAGCATTCTGAATTCCTCCAAGGAACCATCTTGCTCATTATTGTGGGACTCTTGGTGCACGACTCTAGATTCTGTACACATTTAATAATAAAATGTGTTAAATAAGACTGAATCCAGGATCATCTGAGCCTCCTGGATCCTCCACTTGCCATCATTTGCCTTTAAGCATGGCCCTTTGGTGTACTGCACGGCAGCTTGGTCTCTTATTAGGACTCTGGACCCACCATCTGGGGAAGAGACCCATCCTTTCTCTGGTGTTCTGAAGAGAGCTGAGCAGAACCTGTCCATCCACACAGGGTCTGTGGTGTGTGCCAGACACCCATACACTTGTCCAAAGCAGGAGCTGTGTCCTTAGAAACTCTGATTTAGAGGAGGTATCTAAAGACAAGTAAACCTTTATCATTTGGCCCAGTTTCAATTGAAACATTTCATTCTTTGTAGGACTTCCATGCTCTGAAATTGTCTTGATGATGCAATGGACTTACCACAAATTCTCTGTAAACTTTTTAATTGAGTTTTGTTGACATCTACACTACTTAGGCCTGACAATTCTGAAGAAGAAAATATTACATCTCAACTGTGTTCCCCTACAGGAAAAGATGCTTCACTTACACACCTGACATAAGAACTGTGACTTAAACTGTATTTTTCACTTATTTCCAGATCTAACTCCACAGAGCTCAAAAATTCTTTCATCCAAATGCCAGTTGTGAAATCCAGGCTCAGCATCTGGGCACATGGGCTGATTTTTGTTTAAATCAGTTGTGAAGTTGGATGGACTAAAAGGTTCTGGTGTGTATGAGCTATCTGCCCTTCCAAAACCAAGAAGTAGGAACACCACTGATGTCACAGGCATGGGCTTCAAGGGAAATCATATTTCTCTGCCCTAACTAGTCTCAGATCCCTGTCTTCCATTTTTCTCATTTTCAGGAGACTGACCAAACTAAAACACCGAGGCAAACTCGCTGCCTCAGTCTACTGGAAGTCTACTGGGTTGCTGATGGCTTACTGAGGTTACAGGATGATCTGTCCCTTCTGTGCTTAGGAAAAATCAAAAGAAGTTCAGCTCCACTGCTCCCTGCTGCTTACCACTGTATACTTAGCTGTTATGGAGGCCACTTTTGAATCACGAAAGCAAAGGCTTGAGGACTCTGAGTCCTCATATGAGTTACCCACGTAGGCTGTCTAGGACACAGCTGAGAGTTCAAGGCTAGACACTGAAGCCCAGTTTGTCAGTGTGTGCAACAACCCAGATTTCTGCAGGGTTATCATGAGCATAGACTTTTACATTTTATTTGGAGAGTTAATATCACCTAGAAGCATTCGAACTGTGATTTCATATGTCTAGGACCCCTTCCCTTGTACTCCCCTAGACAACCAAGAATCAGCTTTAGTTGTTACAAATTTGCAAACCATCTTCTAAAATCCATGGCAGCCCTTCTTTGACTTATACTTTGGTCAGTAGTTCAATATTATAGTATTCATGCTAGAACCATATTGCAACTGGTCCTTCTAGAAAGGAAATGCTTGACAATGTTCGGTTAATTGTGGGTTCAAACAGCTGAACCCCAACCAAGAAGGTGAAAGAAAAAAAATTAACATACATTTGGTACTTCTAGAAGAACCAACTTCGAAGGTAGGAGAAAAGCCAGGGATGTTCATCATAAAGCTTGAGTTTACCCACCCTGAGAGTAAATCTACCATATTGGAGTCTTAGGAACAACCTCTGTGTAGGCAAGGTTAGGGGACAAAAATAACCATGGTCTGGATGTCTGCAGATTCAGATTCCTGGGGACCCTAGCTGAGAGATACACCAATTGAGACTAACTGATCTCTAGTATCTTTGTGTCTGGCAGATATCACAATGCTGAGGGAATGAGGAAGAGCCACGAGTACTCACGTGGTATAAAGCCTTGGTTAGCCAGCTGCTCCTGGGTCCTTCGCTGTTGAAGCCGTAACTGTAAGACTTAGAAAAGGAAGCATGAGCTTGTGAGTTGGAACAGAACGATTACAGTCACAGTCACATGTTTTTACCATACTTTCCCAGCCCTTCTGGTTTAATGTCCAGAACAGCTTTGAACATTATTATGAGTACATTTTTATTTCTGAGGCAGACAGAGAAGTAGACTCGCAGTGCTGTGAGTCTACAGAAGCTAGAATGTTGGGCTCCTTTGAAGAGGCTGTTATTTCCCCAGAATGGTTTGTCCCCGTCTCGACTATACTGTTTCCAAGATGGATATAACCCAGTGCTATTTGGGTGATAGCCAGTGACTCCAAAGGAGAGACAAAGAGAAGAAAACATCAGCCATGGAGACCCAATGGAAACCGGATCCTATCTCTACCCCTAAATGTGCACCTGGGCACACTGCCTACTCTCCTGCATCCTCAGAATTCTCTTTTATTATAGGAATCACACCTGTCAGCATGGATATAAAGCCCAATAAAACAAATGTATGCACATGACTTAGCAGTGCCATTGTTAGATGCTAGTACTAGGAGAATATGGGGTTCTTACGGGAATTTAAAGGTTATTGGAAGTATGCCTCTCTTAGAACAAAAACACTATAAAATATCCAAACATTATGTTATGTACGAACATTAAATTTTCATAACACAAAGATTATGCATAAAACATGCACCTGTAAAATGTTAACATTGAATAACACAGGATTGTTAAAATATGAGTAGAATATGTACAATTTCTCCTCTCCCTCAAACACATTCTGCCTTTGGAAATTCAGCTTCCCCCTCATGAACACTCTATTTTCTCAAGAAGATTCTGTTTTTCCACCATGGTCCTTGGCTTCAGTTGTTGGGTCTAAGAGTGTGTATTAGTCAGCCTCCACCACTGTGACAATACCTGATGTAAACACTATGGTGTGGGAGGGTTCATTTTAGCTTGTACATTCAGATGTTAAACAACCCTTTCACTAATTAAAAACAGTAAATGCTGGACAACACACACACACACACACACACACACACACACACACACACACACACACACTGAAGAATAGCAAACATTAATTAAGCAGATTGCAGTGGAGACCAAAGCTTAGAGAAATGACTTGACTTCACATTCCAACTTTAGGAGTTTAGGCTTGAAGGTGGCTGCAGTAAAGAAAGTTGACAGTTACAGACAACTAGAACTCCAGAAGCAAATCAAAGCTCAAACTTCTGCTCAGAGGAATCAGGGCGTGGTGTTCTGATACATACATGCTGCCAACTGCCAGAGTGAGGTGAGGAAATCAAACAAGAGGACAGTAAGAGGGGGGGCTCTCCAGCTCACCAGGATCCCCCAGTTTCACACTTATTCCCATTGTTTCCATGGAACAGACAGACTCTAGACTCCCAGGCAAGAATTAGCATAGTTTGTATCTCAATGGATTCATTGCTGGCTGTGAAAAACACAGAAAAATTTGCATTTCCAAAGGATTGTGACAGATTTCAGGGTTATATAATATATGGTTTGCCCAATGTTCAGGGAAAAAAAAAATTAAGATTACTCTATACACAAAGAAGCAAGTCACTGTAACACGTGCTAAGTGGAAAAGGCAAAATAAAATAAACCCAAATACTGATCTTGGAACCACCCTAGTGTTGGGATTATCAGACAAGGTCAAGTGATGATTTTTAACCATGTTCAGGAAAGTCAAAGATGCAATGGTCAAAAGGAAAGACAGGATGGACAATCAAACTATAACATGTAAAAGGAAACAAATCAGGAATAGTAAAAAAACGTAACTATAGAATATCTAAAAAAAAAAAAAAAAAAAAAACACTACTTTATGGAAAGTGGGTTTACTAGATCTGTAAACTCAGAGACCCATCAAACTGAAGGAGGGAAACAGATGGAATTAAGTGAGAGGATTCTCGGGAGTGTATAAAACAATATCCAAACATCTGAGTCTCAGGGATTAAGAGCACCAAAGGATGAGCAGCACAAGAAACAATGCCCAGATAGCATGTCTAGGGAGGTAACATCAGGTTGAATAGCCACAGGCTTCTCATCAGAACCCCAGGGGCATTTTCACCCAGAAACTCCCAGCCTGCACAGAAGTGCCCTGCAGGAATGAAGGTGGAATCAGGTAATGTTCAGAGAAAGGAAAACAATATCATCAGCTGCTAGCTCATGCCATGTCAAAAATTGGTTATGGAAATCAGTGCTGAAAGAAAACCTGGACTCCAGCAATAAGAATATTAGCAACACTATCCAGAACTCCTTTCAGATGTACTCCTTTCTTACTAATTTAAAAAGCACATGACTGTTGGGAGAAAGACTGTGCACCACCTGGTGGCGTTCTCAAGGCACAGGGATGCAGGGAAGACAGGAGGGATGGATGCAGCCTAACGCCCTGCCATCCCTTGGATCTTGAGTTTCCCACAAAGGTCCTCGTGGCCAAGGTTTGGTCTGTAGCCCAAGTGCTCCAGCAGAGGTGGAGTGTTTAGAAGGTAGAGCCTTGTGAGGAAGTTAGGTCACTGGGGGTGTGTCCTTGGCTGAAATATTGGACCCTGACCCCTTCTCTTTCTTTTCCTTTCTATTGTTGGGATGTGCTCCTGTCATACCATGCTACCTCATGCCAGGCCCAAAGCAGCAGGGCCAATGGATTAGGGACTGGTGCCAAGATAACTTTTTACTGTTTATACATTGATTATCTAAGGTACTTTGCAACTTTTTACTAAAATGAGCTATTGACTATACACTTTGTTTAATTTACATGCAATAGTATGATTTTCATGATATAAATTATAATAATGAATTATAAACCCTAGAGTACCCCTTCCAAAAACAGAAATACACCATTAACAGCCAACTAAAAGGAATGCTGTCTGTTTGTGCTGGTGTATCTTGGTAGGGTTTGCTGAAAGGGGCAGAGGCAGGAGGGTCATGAATTTGAAGCCATCATTCTAACCGGTGGTGGTGTCAAATGCCTTTACCCAACACTTGGGAGGCAGAGGTGGATGGATCTCCAAGTTGGAGGCCAAGTTGTTCTACAGAGTGAGTTCTAGAACAGTCAGGGCTATACAGAGAAACTCTGTTTTGCCAAAAACAGACCAAAAAAAAAAAAAAAAAAAAAAAAAAAAAAAAGAAGTAATACTAAGTTGTTAAAAATAACTCAGAAGAAGAAGAAAAAAGGAAATATTGGAAAAAAAGAAAGAGAGGCAATAAGAAAACAAACAATACAGTGAGTGGTAGCTTTAGACCTCACCAAATCAGTCATTAGATCAACATTTGTTAGGAAAACACCAAAAGTAGAAGATATCACCAGAGTGGGTTTTAAAGGAATGTTATTTAAGTCTATATTTCCTACAAAAGATACATTTTATGTATAAAGATTCTGATAAAAACAAATTTAAAAAGGTCTGCCACTCAGAAAAATGTTCAAAAGCCTAAGTGATGGTTAGAATATTGCATAAAACGGACTTCTGGTCAAAGAGCTTACTAGACATCAAAGGCCTTTTAGAGGCTGGTAAGATGGTACATCAGATAAAGCTTCTTTCCACCAAATCCACCAACCCGAGTTCAATTCCTTGGATTCGCACAGTATAAGACAAAAAAGGACTCCAAGACCTTCTGACCTCCACATACATACATACTGTGGCATAGGCACACACCTTAACACTTACATATAAAATAAAGAAATGTTCTTAAATGTGGCATTTTAGAACTAAAAAAAAAAATGGACAATCATTGGTAAGACACATTAACTACACATGGACAACATGAGTGTGTACTGTCTCAACATTTGATTATATGAAAAAAAAAATCTCCAGCAACTCAGAGGAGTTGAACAGCATATGCAATCTCATTTTAAGTGACTTGTATCTTGATGAAGTTGCAGAGCGCTGCCCCCAACAACTGCATGGTACTCTTTTGAAGTACATATGGTACTTCACTGAGCCACGACAGGCAACAAGCCGTACCAACTTCAGAAGGGCTTAGCTCATTCCGTGTGTGTTCTCTGATCAGACTGCAATTAATTCGCAATCAGGAGCAATAAGTTACTGAGAAAGAAATATCTGGCAACACACTTTAAATAATCCACATGCCAAAGAAGAAAGCACAAGGGAAATTAAAAATATTTTGGCCTGAATGACAATGAGTAGAGGATGTAATTTATGGAAAACAGAAACTACCATGGTCAGAGAGAAACTCAGCTCTATATGTTCATATGGCAAAAGTAGGCCCAAGATCAATGGCCCAAGATTCTAACTTAAGAATATGCCCCCAATGGTAAATAAAATAATATTAATAGAGATTAAAACAGTGTGGTGGTTTGGATGAAAATGGCCCTGTCTTAGGGTTTCAATTGCTGCAATGAAACACCACAAACAAAAAGCAAGCTAGGGAGAAAAGGGTTTATTTGGCATATACTTCCATATTGATGTTCATTATTGAAGGAAGTCAGGACAGGAAGTCAAAAAGGGAAGGATCCTGGAGGTAGAAGCAGATCAAAGGCCACAGAGGGGTGCTGCTTACTGGCTTGCCACCCCCCCCCTTGATCAACCTGCTTTCTGATAGAACCCAGGACCATCAGCCCAGGGATGGCACCATCCAAAATGGGCTGAGTCCCTCCCATTGATCACCAACCAAGAAAATGCCTTACAGCTGGATCTCATGGAGGCATTTCCTCAACTGAGGCTTCTTCCCTTCTGATGATTCTAGCCTGCATCAAGTTGACACAAAACCAGCCAGCATAGGCCTCCATAGGCTCCTATATTTGGGTGCTTAGTGCCCAGTTGGTAGAAGTGTTTGGAAAGGATTAGGAGGTGTGGCCATGTTAGAGGAAGTGTGTCACTGGGTGTGGGCTTTGATGTTTTTTCAAAAGCCCACAGCAGGCCCATTCATTCTCTGCATGCTGCCTGTGGATCAGGGTATAAATCTCACAGCTAGTGCTCCATGCCCCCTGCCTTGGTGACCATGGCCTAGTCCTCTGAAACTGTAAGTAAGCCCTCTAATTAAGT